CCCCAAAACCCCCAAAACCCCAAAACCCCAAAACCCCTTTTTAAGAATTTATAATTGATAACTTAAAATAAAGCTCTATTAAGACTCGAAGTCAAAGACAAGTTCATTTGCCGGTTTTTGTTTAAACTGCATTTTGTTTAAATTATCTTCCAAAAGTCGAGATATCATCCAAACTAAGGATATCGTTCATTTCGAAATCAACCCTTCTCTTGAACTCCTCAAGGGAGGATTCTTTGCCTCTTTTGTTTTGGAATCGTTCCCAAAACTTTTTGAAGTAAATTTCATTATTGTCCATCAACCTTTTCGCTAAGCTAAAGATGGGGTGTTTGAACGCTCTTTCTCTTTGAGGAACGAAGGAGAAGTTCTTCATATCTTCTTTGAAGGAATCCCCTTCCTCAATGATCAGCTTCTTCATATCTGAGCTAAACAAAGTTCATTCTTCTGTGCTACTTTTGAAATTTTTCCTTAGGATATCTTTAGCAAGAGGGCCAATGAGCTTAGACTGAAATTCATCAGTTCTTTGGAGAAATCTATCAACATCGTTTTTCAGCATATTTAGGAGCTTCAGATAGAACTTGTCAGCCTGTTTTGCTCCTTTGCATTCTGAGCGGGTGTGAGGGATTATTATTCCAGAGAAGGCATTACGGAACCATCCTTTCTGGATAACATCACTTCTGAATTGAAGGCTATTTGAGTCTCCAGAAATAGCTTCCTCATTGATCCCTCTTTGTTTACTAGGTCTTGTCATAGGAACTACCTGATTAGCTTCAAAGAATCCCAATGGAGGCAAAGAATTGAGGAAAAGTATCTGATTCTGAGTCATAAGATTAGGACTAAGAGGTTCCTTATACATTGGCTTTGGTTTGACAGTTTCCACAGGCTTTGCAATCGATTCTATTGGAAAGAGACCTCTGTTGATACCATAAACAAAATTGTAAACATCTGGGGAGTTCTGCTGGTTGAGAATGCTTGCAGCTTCAAAAGTTGTTCTGAATAAATTCTGCTCCTCAGTTGACATCTCAGGATCTTTTGTCAGCTTCTGTTCTTCTTCTGTTTGTCTGTTGAAAGGTTTCATTGTTTTAAAATATTTTTAATAAACAAGTTCTGCCTTTTGTTATGGGGTTTTGGGGTTTTGGGGTTTTGGGGTTTTGGGGTTTTGGGG